TATCATGAGTAATTGGATTTATTGATAAATGTAATAATAATTCTAATGACGTTTGTTCAATTATTTCTGGATGATTAAGTAAATTTAATAATTTATCTGAGGGTGTTGATAATAATAAATGATAATTTTTACATTTAATATTCATTTTCATTAATAAAGATAATATTGTACATTGTAATTTTGTTGATGTTGAACAAAATAATAAATCTTTAAGAATAATTTGTGAATTTTCCGGAAATACTGAAGGATTAAAATAATGTAATAATTTAGTAATTTGTTTTTTAAATTGAAATGTTGTTTTAGGAATTATAATTAATTGAAATAACATTGTTGAAGCATTTGGTATTTGTAAAAGAAGATGAGAACATAAGTTAATAAAATTATGATAAAATAAACTTTTAGTTAAATGTTTAGTTATAGCAGTATTAACAATATAAAAAATATAGTCTGCTATCACTTGCAGTTGTTGACTATTTGAAAATCCTTGAAAGAAAGAAATAATATCATTTTGAATATAAATATAGTCTTTATTTTCTTTTTGTAAAAGAATAAGTTGTTGTTGAATAAAGTGATGAAGGTCCATTAACCAAAGGAGATAATAACTTTTTTAAAACTATTGAATGACTTTCTTTGAGTAAATTACATTTTATTTTTAATATTTTTTAGATAAAAAAAATAAAAAAAAAGGGTTAAAAACTAAAAAATTAATAAAACATGTTTCCATATTGGACAAGTATTATTGGTTTGTTTCTCTTCTTATTTTATTCTTTTTTTAAAAAGAACTAGAAAGAAAAAAACAAGTAATAATAATAATAAAATAGTATTAACAATATTAACTACATTATTTGAATTATATAAACATTATAGACAACATAAATTATATTACATAAAAGAAATACCAAAAGACGTTAAAGATGTGTATGGAGATAGTATTGATCAAAATGAATTTGAAAAGTCACAAAATTATCATTTAGAATTAAGTAAAGTATCATTCATTAGATTAACAATTTCATTTATAATAAATATGTATGTATTATGTTCACCAATTTTAAGAAATATTTGGGAATTTTCAACAACACAACATCAATTTTTAACGAGTTTATTATTTATAATAATCTTTGATTTTATTTCTACAGTAATTTCAATTCCATTTAAATTATATATTACGTTTGTAATACGTGAAAAATATGGAATGAATAATATGTCAATTATTGTATTTATTAAAGATTTTATTAAATCTTTTATTTTAGAAACAATATTAAATTTAGTAATAACAACATTACTTTATTTTGTCTCTGAAACACAAAATTTAGCATTATATTTATGGATCGGAGTAATGACTTTAAATATTATTATTTCTTTAATATTCGTTCCTTTTATAATTCCATTGTTTTATAAAAAAACTCCATTACAAGAAGACCAATTTAAAAATGAAATTGAAACAAAATTAAAAGAAGTAAATTTCCCATTAAAATCAGTTTCTGTAATTGATGCTTCTTCAAAAGCAAAAGAAGGAAATGCATTCTTTTCAGGATTATTTGGAAAGAGAGATCTTGTATTATTTGATACTTTAATGACAACATGTTCTTCAGATGAATTGGTTGATATTGTATTACATGAAGTAGGACATTGTAAACATTACCATATTTTTAAATTATTAGGAATTCAATCAATTCAATTCTTTGTTATTTTTAAATTTATTGAATTCTTCTTATTAGATGAAGCACTTTATACTCAATTTGGATTTGACCAAAAAGTTGTTGTTGTAGGATTTATTTTATTACAAAGTTTACTTGAACCTTTTATGGAAATTGTTTCTTTAGGAATCAACTTTATTTCTAGAAACTTTGAATATCAAGCAGATGCATATGCTACTAAACACGGTAACCATCAATTGGCAAGTGCTTTAATTAAATTACAAAAGAATAACTTATCAGCTTATGTTATAGATCCATTTGTTTCTACAATTGAAAATTCACATCCAAATCTGGTAGAACGAATACAAGCAATTAATAAAATCATAAAAGAAATGAGAAATGACTAAAAATTAAATCAGTTTTCTTTTACTCTTTGTTTTTGTTTTAAATGAACTTTAAATTATTAAATGCTAAAAAAATATTCTGGTATCTCTTTTAATCAAGAACTTAATTGTTCTGTGTATTTAGGAAGAAAATATCTTCTTATTTTTAAAGACAATACTAATCCTCTCACAGACATCCCGTTTAAAGCAATAGAAATTGAGAAAATTAAAAAAAAAGAAAGCTTTGAAAAGAGTTTGTTGAATTTTGTTATTTGTTAGTTAATTGTCTAAAATTTATTAAACAGAAGACAAGCCTATTTCTGGACTAAGGCTTAGCATGAAAAGTTCTTATCCATTCTTCTCTGAAAAATTTATTTTATCAGGAAATCAAAATCAAATTGATAATCTTCAAAGTCAAATAGATTCTCTTATTCAAGGAGAAACAAAAATATTTTCATCATCTCAACTAAAATTACCTTAATCTTTTTATTCTTTTTTAACTTTTTTATTTTCTTCTTTATTTCTAGTTTTATTCTTTTAAAGAATACTTACTTTTTATTAAATGCTATTCAATTATCATTCTTAAATTTCTGTTATAAAATTGATTATCTACATTTTATCTTTTGGAAATATGTACATCTTTTAACTTTTTTAAAATACCATTGTCTTATTCCATTATCAATTCTTTTTCTTTATTTCTTTTAATTTATTCTTTATATTTAAATAATCAATTAAATATACATTTACAGGAATATTACAATTTAAACAATCACTTTTATTGTCATCAATGTAATAAGTTTTTTTAAAGTCTTTCTGGGAGTTAAATCATTCCCAACCAAATTTAAAAAAAGAATTATCTTTAAAGTAATTTAATAGAGATAAACTTGTGATAAAATAAAGTGAATGAATATTATTACATTTATTTAAAACTAATAAAGAAGCCAATTGAGAAGAAACAAAAAAGGACAACCAATAGACATATCCACAATTAGATGTTATGATTATTGAGAAGTGATTATTTCAGTGATTCTAATATATTATACTTTTATCATGGAGTTCATTTCAAAAATGTGAGAATTATATTATTCCTATTCTAATGTGCTATCAGAGTTGAACATGTAGAACATTAAGTCTTTTATGTTTTTAATAATGATTGTTCTAGTACTTTGGGGAAGTCGATTATGTAGTTTTGTTGATTTTAATCTTCTTACTGTTTCTTTATGTATTAATTTATTGATAATAATACAGGTATTATTTCTACATATTTTATTTCTATCTTGTATTAATTTCTCTTGTAATTCTTTGTATTTATTTATTTTGTAAATACAGTTTAATTCTTTATTTCTATCTTGACATATATCAACATCATTAATATATCATTTTTTATCTTTGATGTTTTGGTAATATATGTCCAGTATTCTAACATTGATCTAAATGAACATTAACAAATAAATTACTATTGGAAGTTATGACTATTTCATCAATATTAATACATTTGTGAGGTGTATTAAAATTTATTTCATCAAATTCAATAAAATGAGTAATTAATATATGTTTATATAATTGATTACACATACAATCATGTTTTGATATTTGGTTTTTCTTCATTATATCATAATAATTTATGACCAATAGATGCAATATGTTATGACAATGTTTACAATATTTCAATATATCAATATGAAGTATTTTAGATTTAATACTTCCTGTCATAGTTACTCCTTCTTACATCTTTACTACTTGAATAAAATATATTTATTTTTATACTTAATAACCTCCATGTTACGACTGTTAATTTCTTATTATTAAATATGCCATTTGCACTTCTTATATATTCATCAAATTTCTTTTCTTCCATTTGAATATCTTTTAATTTATTTGTTACTCATTCAAATTTTCTTTAATTGTATTATACTTATTAGGTTATAAAATTAATCTTCTTACAAAATGCTCTCTTCATTCTTTTAATTATTCAACTTGAATTCTCTTTTATTATTTCAATCATTTCTTTTATTTCATGTTTGTTGTTATTCTTTATTTTGATAATGTTTATATCTTCGTTGTGTTTTATTATGATAATTATTTGTATTATTATATTGTTGTTTCTATTCGAACTATTATTAAAGTGCTTATGATGATGGAAATGATTCATGCCATTATTATTGTAATTGTTATGATAATGCCTATGGTGATAGTTATTATTATGATAATATTTATTGTGATAATTGTTGTGTTTCTGTCCATACAGATAATATTTATTTTCACACACTCTTCCATTATTTATGCTCTTGGATGATATGGATTTCTCCTTCTTTTATTAGTGATTTTTTTTGGATTTTCTGTGCGTGTCTTAATCTATTCTTTTTAAAGTGAATTGAGAAGTATAAATATTTATTAATTTAAAACAACGATTCCTTTTTTTCTTAAGAGAAGAGAGAAAAAAAATAGAGTCGAACTAAAAAAGAACTAGAATCAAGAAGTTTTAATTTCTTTTGTTTTGGAATTGATATAATAAAAAAATACAGAAAACAAAGTTTTCAAGAGAACTAAAAGAAACTTAAAAAGAGATATTTGAATGACTGAGGAAAATAAGACCAAAAGTTTTGAATTTTTCATTGGAAAACAAAAAACATTAATTGTAAACTTTCAGTTAACAAAAAAAGAAGGATCTCTTTTAGATTCATTACTTATTAAAGCTTCATTAATTGATAAAAATGAACCTGAAAATCAAAATGGAAATATTTATACTACAACAATGAAAGTTTTTAGTCATAAAGATGGATTAGAAACGTTAACTCATATTATTAATGTTAATGAAGTTAATGATGGTTATCAAATACAATTTGATTATGGTGGGTTAGTTATGGATACCGTAGTTAGAAAACCATTTGTTGCTGGTACAAAAACAATTACTGAAATAAAACCAACAAACATTAATGATGAAAAATTTAATTTATTAGAACAAAAAGTAATCGAATTATCTACAACTTGTAAACAATTAGAATCTCTCAAAGAAGACCATAAAATTCTTATAGAAAAAATGTCTTCAATTGAAGAAAAATCAGAAAAAACTCGTCTTATTTTAAAGGGAAATGAAGAATTATTAGGAATTGATGCTATTCAATTAGCTTTTACTAGATTTATGTCTACTGGAAATGTTATGCTTCCAATTATTCCTCGTGTTGTTACAGTTAGTCCAAAATATTTAGAAATATCAACTTCTATACTTACTGAACATGGAGAATTTGCAGCTATTGTTTTAATAAAAAATGATGACGAAAATGATATTTCTTTGAAATTATTAACAGAAGATGGAATTTATATTATATGGTTCTCTAATATACAATTTAATGAAATAATTAGTATTTGCACTAAATTACAATTTAAACAAGAAAATAATAATGTTTCTGTTGGTGTCCCTTTAGAACATGAAACAAAGTGGTTTATAATGGCAAAAACTTCATTTGGATTAGAGGTTATGAATTGTGTTATTAGAACTTATCAATTCATTGGAGCATTAATTGCTACAGAAATCCCAGTAAGTGCATACATATGCTCAGACATTACTTTATGTGAAAAAAAAATGCCATTACCACCTATAGAATCAAATGAATCTTCTTCAGAACAAGAATCTGAAGAAATAGATTGGGAGACAAGAGTTAAAGAAATTCGAGATGAAGTAAAAGAAGAATTAATGAAAACATTATCAGAACAAATAAGAAAAGATATAATTGAAGAAATGAATAAAAGAATTACAAAAGGAGATGACTATAAATTATCAATTGATGATGACGTTTTTCAATCAGAAAATAATTCAACAAATAAATTGAATGATCAAACTGAAATTATTACTCCAATAGTTCGAAGAACTAGAAGATCAAATTATAGTCCTCAAAGTACACCTTCTCCTAACTCTGATGATACTCCAACACCTGTATCTTCTGCTCGTATTCGTGGTAGAAGAGAAGCATTTTATCATGCACAACAACCTGTATTTGATGCAGAAGGGCAATGTATTGCTATTGGATCAACAACACAACTACCAGCTTGTAGTTTCACATGTAAAATTACTCAAAATGGAGTTATTAAAATAGGAGAAAGTATTCTTCCTGATGAGGCTATTGTTCCATTAAATGAAGTTGAAGTTGGAATTGCACAGACAATAGGTAAAAAACCTACAATGGAAGATACTTGTTGTGTTTATGAAACAAATATTCCATTTATGGAAGTTATTGGTATGTTTGATGGTCATCATGGACAAGACGCAGCTATTGAATTATCAAAACAAATGGGAATTGTTTTAAAAAAGGCATTAAGAGAGAAAAAGAAAAATGTTTGTGAAGCGTTATTATCTACATTTGAAAATTTGCATCAAATTGTTATTGAAAAAACAGAAAGTGGATCAACTGGTACAGTTGTTGCAATTGAACAAAACACAGCTTATGTAGCTCATGTTGGTGATTCACCTGTGTTTTTAATTAAAAGAAATTCAGAAAAGAAAATTGAAAAAGTTACTATTAATCATCATCCTGATATACCAGAAGAACGAGAACGTATTGAAAAGAATGGAGGTCATTGTTATAAAGTTGGTAATACTTGGAGAGTAGAAGGTGTTATTGCTTTATCTCGTTCATTAGGTGATAGAGCACTTCATCCATCACTTTCTGCTATCCCAGATGTTAATTCTTTTGATTTGACTGATGTAACTGAAATAGTAATAACATCTGATGGTGTTACTGATGTATTAAATGAAGACGATATTGCAAATCTTGTTTTTAAAAGTGTTAATGTTGACACTGCTGCTAATAGTATTCGTGATACTGCCTTTAAAAAACAAAGTCTTGATAATATCACTGCTATTGTAGTAAAAATACCTCATTAAACAAATTTCTTATACTATTGTTTTTTTTCTTTTTTATTTAAGAATTGAAAAAATCTTTTACAATAAATAGTTCAAATACCATAATTAATCTAAATCATAATTTTATTCTCATAGATACTTATGAAAATCATTAAATATGAGATGTAAGAATGATGAAGTTTTTATTAAACTATGATATACTATGATTACTTGATCCTCTGACTTACATTTAGTTTTATTATTTTTATAATAAATTAAAAAATAACAATAATAAAGAAATTTTCAATCATAATAATATTTCTAATTCATAACGACGATTCATATTATAATCATCATCTTCAAGTACTGGATAAGCAGCAACTAAACCATCTTGATTCCCAATATACATATTATTATATACTCTCCAATATGGTTCTCTTACATGACGAGCTGGATGAAATAGTCCTTGTAAAACATATTGCATTAATACAAGAACTCCTAATGATACTCTAATACCTTCAAGAGCTTCCAATGTTGCATTAATTACATGAGGAGAAGTTTCAAAAATATTAGGCCAAACATAATTTAACATATGGATCAAAGCATCTTCACAACCTAATCCATAAATACCTAATGAAATAAATTTTACAACAGTACATGCAGTTTGTCTATGAACAGCATCTTTCTCTGCAAGAGCATCACATAATAAAGGAATTACAGGATAAATATAATCTTTACTTTTTTCTCCAATATATTCAAATAGAAAAGCAAATGCTTTTAATACTCCAGTTTTAATATTAATATCAGGCATACGATATTCATTCATTAATGATGGAATAACAGTAAATGGTGCACATGAGTCTGCAACAACTGCAATTGCAATAGTAGTACATACTCTTAATTGACGATCCAATACTTTTAAATTATTAAGTAACATAATTAATACTTCTTGAGGACCAATTGCCTTTGCAATATCTCCAAAAGTATCAACTGTTGCACGTCTAATTGATTTTTTATGAGCCTTAAATGCATCAAGTAATTCATGACAAATTCTCATCCATTCTTTTAAATGAACCATTTCAGCACCTGTATCAGCTGATTTCTTTGCAATAATTCCAATTAATCCAATACATGCTTCTTCAATTCTTTCATTAGTATTTCTTAATATTGGAGTTAAACGAGGTACAAGATCACTAATAGATGGTCTTATTTCTTCTAAATTACATAATGAAATTATTTCTTTAAGAGTGATCATAGTAGAAGCCAATACTTCAGTATTTGATTCTCCTAATAATTCATATAAAATTTCACAAAGATCAATTAATGTTGGTTTTTGATTACATTTAATATATAACCTACAAATGTTACCTAAAATTTCAACTGCACACTGTCGAATTTTAGGTGATTTATTATGAAATCTCCATTTAATATTTTCTGAAAATGCTTCAAGATAAGGTACTACTCTTTCACTAAAACAATTCATTATAAATGAAATACTTTGTAATGCCTGAGCATTTTCATCACCAGAAGTTTGTTCAATAAAAGCAAATGTTAATCCATCAAATATTCTTTTTTCTAAATCTTCATCAATTTCATATATTCCAAATTGTTGAATTACTTTTTCCATTGCTTTTAATGTCATTTTTCTAAATGGTTCATTTTCATCTTTTAGAAAAACAACAATTTTTTCTAAAATATATTTTTCTCCCATTTTTTGTGATAATAATAATGCTGTTTCAATAACTTCTTTACATAACTTTTTATCAACGGAATTTCTTCTATGCCAAAATGATTCAAAAAACCTTTCTGCAATATTATTTTTTGATGTTTCTTTTCCAATAATTGGAACACTTAGACATTGCCTTATTACTTTTAAAACAATTTTCTTCATTTCTTCATCTGATGTTTTAAATTCTCTTACAACAACTCTAATAATTTCCCATCCATATTTTGCTGCAATTTCTTCATCAACAACTGATATAACTTGTCCTGATGCTTTAATGTATGAAGCAAGTAATCTTCCTCTCATTCTTTTGCACCCTTCAATAATTGGTTCTAGTGTTTGTTCTAAAACATCTCCACCATAAGGGTATGATGCTTCTGCAAGTGCTGCAATAGCAAGTGCTGCAAATTTAGTTATAGTAGCTTCTGTATCATTAAGTCGAGGAAAAACAATAGCAACAAGTGCAGAAAGATGAGGAAGAACAGAACATCCCATTAACATTGCAATTTGTTGAATACATTTTAGTCCTGTATGACGTGCATACCAACTTTTCTTTGAACCACAAACAGCTTTTAAAAATGGAAGTAATGATGGTATTCCAATTGCAGCAGCAACAACAGAAAATGCACGGGCTGTTGTGTTTCTAATTGACTCTTCAGGTGAATCGATATCTGGCCTCATAGCTGCAATCATTGTTTGAAGACCAGCAGCTTTAGCTAAATTTGAAATAATTTCTCTTCCTTCTACACGAGCAATAAAATCTGCATCATCAAGTAAAGGTGTTATAACAACTAATAACTTTGCGGTAAATGGACGAACTAAATTATCTAATTTAAAAATAATACGATTAACTACTTTTACTAAAATATGACGTTCTTGTTGTTCTAAAGTTATTGACATAAGTAATGGTAAAATTTGTTCAAATAATACTTCTGCACCAAATTCTTTTGTTCTTTCAGTAAGTTGACGTAGTGCTTGTTTTCTCATTGCAGGTGTTCCATTTTTAATTCTTAATAATAATCTTTTTAGTTGAATTTTTTTTCGTTCTTCACTTGACAACTCTGATTCGTCTCGTTGTATCAAGGCTTCTTCAAAAAAAGCACGTTCTCCAGGTTTTACATCTGGTAATGACTCAATTTTATTTTGTGGACCAATATCATTTGCAATTAAAGCAGGTGTTGCATCAGGTTTTTCATTTGTATCAATCAATGTTGAAACTACAGTAGGTTTTTCATCCCAACGTGACCTTCTTGGTCTTGGGGAATAATCAGATGAATATGACTCTGATCTTCTTCTATGATGACTTTCAGATTCACTACTGTTTGACATAAATGAAATGAAGAATCAAGTTTTTCC